CAGAGGATTTGGAGAGGATTAATCCCAATATGTATAAAATACTCAACAATATGGGACATATAGTAAGTGCTTGATGGGCATTAGATGCTCTGATGGTACGCTGTTCTGAGAACTTTTCTCAAGCTGGAACATACTGCCTGTGGTCACCTTCTCTGATGAAGCCTGGATATCAGGACATGGGAGCTGGGCAGCCCTCTTTGGTATTCTGGAAAATAGCCCACTTTAGGAACAAAGGTGGCAGTATTTTGACACAGGCCATTATGCCTAGTGTGTTCCTTACATAATTTAACACCATTGCCCAAGGATCCTGCATGCTAGTCATCTATCTAGGAGCACAAGGGACCCAGGATAAGTGGACTTGCTTCCTATGTTGAGAAGGCCTGGCTGCTTGTCTTGCTCTCCACAGCATTAGCAGGTGCTGCTCTTCCAGCAGACACTCTGGAAATCTACCCAGACCTCACCTTCTGAAGAAGACAACCCAGTGTGGCTCAAAGGCTTTCCAACTTATGAGAGCCAAATGGACTGATGGAATATTAAATTTACTGACCTGCATGGGACCTAAGGAAACCACCTAGCCAAAGGTAGAACATCTGGGATGCTTTGAAAAATAAAAAATTGAGCTTTATTCTTCAAAGACATGTTCTGATTTGTATAGAGAATTGAGAAACTGAGGTATTATATAATTTGTGACTTTCACACTTGCTTCCATTAATTCCACATTCTTCTTTGTCTGAGTACCAGTTAAAGAACTTACTTGAGACCCACTTACCTAGAACTCTCTTGTACTTTCTAAAGTACAATTTTGACAGTTTATTGTCAACTAATACCCTGAGCCTCCTAGCCCTGGTGTAAAGACCAAGTGTATCATCATATCACAGGTGTGAAAATTGAGAACTGAAATGTTACATTTAAAGTCATATAAAGATGTAGGAACAGTGCCTTAGTTTGGGACTTTGACTACTGTTGCTGCTCATCTGAAATGTTTGCAGACACAACATAGTAATATGTCAAATATTTTTAATACACATCATTGATTTCTGAGGTTAAAAAACAGAATTTTCCAAAGGAAAGATGTATTAAAAACAAAACAAAATACTGTTCAACATGATACCATTCCAGGTTAAAACAAATGCTTTGTGATTTAGACCTCAAGGAAAATGCTTGATGCCTTTCCTCCACAGTTTGCAGCTGATCTCTCTGTAAACTTGAATGTTTTCTGTTAATTAGAACAACTTCTATTCTTTCAGGATTCCAGTAACTCATAAAGCATGTTGTTGAAAGCTTGAGTTTGTAGAAAGCCCTGTCAGTGAGTGTGCAATCTCTATGCTCTTCCAGTGTCAATAGGAAACTATAGATAATAATTCTATTGACCATCTGTCCATTTCTGTCAACTGGAAATTTCCACTCATCTCTGCTTTTGGAAATCACTTTGGAGACTTATGGAAAGATTATTCCCTTTGCTTTCAGTCTGGCAGCAAGACAGAGCCTCAGAACTCACTGATGGTGTCAGGATTCAGTGGGGTCTGTTTCTAAAGTGCATTTGTGCTTCCTCGGGGCCACAACTCAGACTCACAGTCTGTGAGGGGAGAGCCCAAAACAGTGAGGGCATGGTGCTGTATGACCTCCTCCAGGCACTGGGACAGGAGCTGCCTCATCTTATTACTGGTTCCAGAGTAAAGTGCTGGGTCAACCAAAGGCATTGAATGTGCAAACGCAAACTCTGCAGGCCAAAGGGTCCTCGTTCAGAGTCCAGAGGCTTCTGGAGGCTATCCCATCAGTTCCTGAGACCACAGGCTCAAATCTGGGGAGAAAAATCCACAAACAGGAAAAATCACTTTTCTGATTAGAAAATAGCATGTTGTTCTTGTTAGCTGCTGCCAATTGGGCCCAAACTCATGGCAACCCCGTGTACAATGGGATCAGATTTTTGTGATCAACGGGGTTTTCAGTGGTTGATTTTTCAAAAGGAAGTAGATCACCAGGTCTTTCTTCCTAGTCCACCTTAGTTGACAGGCATTGCCCAGAAATTGAACACAGGTCTATCACATGGAAGGTGAGCATTCTACCACTGAGTCACCATTGTTCCCTTTTCTGGGTTGGTCAAGGAAATTTTATTGGTGATTCAAGGAAACTCAGCTCAACTGAACCTCATTCAGGCCTGCCCTGGGCTGCATTTGTTCTGGGCCCAAGGTGTGAGTATACAGTGACAGGAAGTACTGTCAGGGTGCTGATGAGAGATGGAATGGGTACACGTACCACTTTTATCCCATTTCAATGATATTTTCTATTCAGAAGATGCCATGTTCTTGCATAAGCTGGACACAAATCCTGGGATATGAAGAAGGTCTTTCAGGGTTGTTGCCTCTAGAATTTTGGGGCTATTTATTGTTTATAGAATTCTAATGTGAACAGTTCCAGATATTCTGAGTAGCTGATGGAAAGTTATTCAGAAATGTCTATGCTTTGCTTAAGGAGCCCTGGTGGTACAATGGTTAAGTACTTGGCTGCTAACGAAAGGTCAGTAGTTCGAAGCCACCAGCCACTTCTCAGGAAAAAGATGTGGCTGTCTGCTTCTGTAAAGATTAAACCAAAAACCCAAACGCACTGCCACTGAGTAGAATTCAACTCATAGCAACCTGTAGGACAGAGTAGAACTGTCAGAACTGTCCCATAGGGTTTTCTAACAGCGTTAGAAAACCCTATGGGGCAGTTTTACTCTGTCCTACAGGGTCTCTATGAGGCAGCCTCAACTTGATAGGTTTTGGTTTGGTATACTTTATGACTCATTTTGGTGAACACTGCGGCTCGTGTATCACATGATATGATTTCTAGATTACCAAAAGAAATGCTTCTTTTCCTAAGGAAGCTATAAATACCCACTTCCCAACATGACCCAGCCCACTGAACTCCAAAACACTGCTGCTCCCATGTTGGAGTTTTGCCTCCAGCCAGCAACCCCACTTCTAATCTCACCTCACAGCTTTTCTCCTTCACAATTTCTAACTCCAAGTCTGTCAACCTTCTATTTATCCAGCACTGCCCTTGACCCACAGCACCCCACAATGTAATCCTTAATGAAAATTTGTTGCAAAACATCAGCTGTTGATTGCATCACAGTTGAATATCATCTCTCTGTTCTTAAATCTTAACCATGTTTCTCACTTTCCAAGCCTAGCTGCCCAGTGCAGCATTCCCTGGGAGGGTTCGGGAACATAAACCAAACAGGTTGCCTTTGAATTGGTCCTGACTCATGATGACCTCATGCATGTCAGAGTAGAACTATGCTCCATAGAGTTTACTTTTATCACTTAAACACTAATTGAAAAAAAGAAATATATATCTATTAATTAAAATGAGATTATATATATATATATATATATATATAGGAGCTCTGGTAGCATAGTGCCTAAAGGCACTTGACTGCTAACCAGAAGACTGGCGGTTCAAACCTACCAGCCACTCCTTAGAAGGAAGATGGGGCAATCTACATGGGGCAACCTACTTCCGTAGTGATACTGCCTCGGAAACCCAAGGAGGGGTTGCTATGAGTCAGGTCGGGGCCGACTCTCAACAGGACATAACAACAACATATATATATATGTAGCATATATATATATGTAGCATAGTGGCTAAGGCACTTGACTGCTAACCACAAGGCTGGCGGTTCAAACCCACCAGCCACTCCTCGGAAGGAAGATGGGGCAATCTA